GCCCCAACCTTAGCTGAGGAACTATTGGCAGATGATCACTGCTGGGTGAGGGAGAGTGAGAGCTAGACAGGCTAACTAGACTCCCATGGATGGACTCACACCAAGGGACATCTGAGGACATATATGACAGAATGCATGAAATCTGGTGGGGGGTATTGGGGAGGTGCAGAAGGGGGAGTGGCTCTAAATATGATTATGATGTAAAAAGAAAAAAATAATAAAGAAAAAAAGTTAAAAGCAGACAGTGGCTGAAGAATGACACTTGAGGTCGTCCTCTGGCCTCCACACACACATGCACACACGAACATGCACATTCACACACATGTGCACCTGCATACACAGATCAATTAATCAATTAAGTTATAAAGATAATCTTTTTAGCTTTCTTTCTAACAAAAAGCACCCACATTTCTGCTCATCTCTCTGCCAAGGATGCCTAAATATATTTCCAGCCCCTGACCTTGGAGTTAAGGTCTCATATCTTTAACAGCCCACAGTGACATACACAGTTAGCCATTCCCCCATCACTCTATATGTATATATGATTTAGAAACAAATCATGATCATAGCCTTCTTCGCCTTTCTATACCCATCATGAACAACAGCCCATATTTTCACAACTTCCTGTAATTTTGTCTGGATTTCACCTTCAGAGAGGAAGATACAGGGCTTGAATCCAGGTCCCAGAAATGAAAATTGCATCATCATTATTTGTGTCACCGTAGACCTGCAGTCTCTGAAGACACACATATTCTTCCCTATTCTCCTATTCTGTTTCTTCAGTCAGCCACTAAGGTCTGCACCTTTGAGGCTGAGGACTGAGGTGATAGATAGTGACTACTGATGGGGTCTTCCATTCATTCCTCTTTGGTGACATCTTACCAGGTGGCCTTTTGTATTTTCACAGCTATCACTTGACAGTTCTCAGACTTTGGTATCTCCAGCATCCTTGTGGAGCCTGGTAAAACACAGATCCTGGCCCCACCCCAAGGCTGCCTGACTCAGGTCTGGAATGGGGCCTGAGTATTTGCATTCCTAAAGCGTTCCCAAATGTTGATAGTGACAATCCCGAGGCCACCCTTGAAGGACCACAGGTCCAAGCCCTCACCACCAGGCCTGGCCCTGCATATGGTACTTCAGTTCCTCCTGTACCCCATGAGTGAACTGGCAGCCTTGGTTTTCTCACCAGCCAGGCTGTGAGTTTGAAGACGGAATGTCCTTTATCTTTGTGTTTGCCTCACGTCTTATTCAACATAGCCCTAGCAGTTGAGGCTCACCACAGACTGGCCAGATTGTTTATGGTGAGTTCAGATCCCTGCCCTGACAGTAACACCCTGACCTTGAAAAATTACTTAACTTCTCCAAGGTCAGCTGCCAGCTTTGTAAACTAAGACGCTGAGAATGGCTGCCCTATGGGACTACCGTGGACATTAAGTGAGACAATAATTCTGAAAGGCTTAGTACAACCAACTGGTTCCTCAATAAACACTTGTTATTCCCATCACTGCTTCTCATTCTGCCTCATGACTATGATGTGCACATTTCCCTCAGGGTCTTTCCTCATAAATCCTCCTGGATTGAATATCTATTTTACTTATTACTGAACCAGTCCCATTTCTTTTGTCACACAGTGTGCCAATCACCAGATAATAAGTTATGCAAAAAAAAGACTTTATTATGAATAAAGTCTTATGAAGACTTCCAAATGTGGAGACAGGAAACCAGATCCCAGACTGCCTCCCCAGAGGTAATATATCTGAGGAATATTCTTGAGACAGAGAGGCAGCATGGTTTAAGGTGTGAGGAGACATGACTCGAGTTGAAGTTACCTGAGTTCCACGTGTGTAATGACTCCGTGACTCTTCATAGAACACGTGTTCAGAAAGTGGCAGTGTTATGATCTGAGGGTGGAGCTTGACATACTCCCTGATAACTGCCTTGCCAACTTGATTGGACCTGTAATCAACTGAGACATGCCTCTGGGCAGGTCTATGAGGGTATTTTCTGGAAGGATTAACTGGTGGAGGAAGGCCGTTCTCCAGAATAGGCAGCACTTTCCATAGCAGCTCAGATATACATAGATCTGAGAGAAAAGTTTTTTTTTTCTGCCTGCCTGCCTGCTTTCACTCCTTGCTGGTGAATACATCATCCCTGCTTCTGCTGTTGCTGCTGCCATCCTTCACTTCCTCAGCTTGAACTGAGGACCAGCAGCTCTCTACAAATCTTCGAGGTCTTTAGCACCAGATTGCTGAGGCACTCATGGACTAAGCCAGTTATTGGGTTCTCAGCCTCTCCAGCATACAGCCAGCCATTGTTGGACGAGTCAGCCCATATTGTGTAAGCCAGTCTAATAAAACTCCTTGTAAGGTATATTTATTCTATCTGTTCTGTTCCCCTAGAGAACCCTGATACAAGAATTTTCACCATTGCATTAGTTAATTGTCACGTATTTTCACTAAACTGCAAAATCCTTAGTGTGAAAGCATACCCTCTGCTTGCATATTGCCATCTATCACCCTGTCCCAAATCTCAAAGAATATTTGCTGAATTTAGGATTCACCAGAGAACTATGGTATCTGGTTGTATGCCATGCAAAGAAGCATCGTGCAATATGAGAAAACCTATTTTTAACTGTCTGGGCCTCAGGGTTTAATTTGGCTCTGTTAGCTTTGGATCTGTTTTTGGCATAGCTTGATATTTTTTCTGTAGCATAAATTGGCTGGATGGCAGTGAGGTTTCCACTCTGCAGAGAAACCTGTGGCTGTGCATTGCTTGTCGGGAACATGGGAGTCAGCTCTTGGCTCTTTGGTTTTCTTACCTCTTAGATTTTAATGAACTACTGTGCCTTGGTGAGACAAGAGATAAAGGTGTGACTGTTAGTGCATGGTCTACATACTATTCTTCCACACCGAGAGGCAAAAGCAAAGTAGAGTAAATTATTTCCATCATTGCCTGAATTCTTGTGACAGTGTTGGAATAGGTATTTTCCTTAGGCTATTGTGTTTGGCCATAGAGTTTTTATGCAATGCAGTATCATTTTGCTTATTATTGTTGTTGCAAGAATATTTTCTTTTCTCTTTACTCTCATGAATATGGTCAAAATAGTTGCATATAACTATTGGACAAGGTTCCGAGTCTGTTACCATACTGGGATATCTCTATGGTTCCTTTGTAACTATGCGTAACTTCCTCCTCATTTTGTAAAC